GATCTCACTAGTAATAATACCAAAATACAAAATATGAGTAAAAAACAATCTTCAAATTATAAATTAATTTAATAAGATTGAGTTAAACACGTAATCATTCAATTTTCTTAAGAATAAAGTAACACTACTCTAAATACACTCATGTATATATATATTAATTGTTTTTTGCATCCATTTTAGCTAGGCTTCTGTGTATTAGCAATCTTTTAGGGTTAAATATAAATATGTAGAGAAGTTGGGAGGAAAGCATAATATGCAATATGAGTTTCCTTATAAGGTTATATATATAGCTGGACAAACAGTTACAGCAGAGTGGACTTTGGTTCATATATTGGAGGTCACATCCTACTTGTTCAAAGCATTTCAATCTATAGGGGAAAGTCATCGCCACTAGTGGCCATAGAATACAAAATAATGCTCAAAAGCTAAGTCAACTCGTTTTTAGATTGGAAGTGCTCCAAACATGGCGCATATTCAAAATATAAAAACAAGACTTTCCGTGTCCCTGAAGAATAATGTATATATGTTCAATCAATTATATTATGTAACCAAAGTACAATTCCACATTAATTTATCACCAATATTTAAAATTATCCATCTACTTCACATTTCGGCGTCTTTATAATTTCTTTCTGCTCAGTTATTGTTGTACTATGCAATATTAAAATTGAATGGCAGGCACTCTGAGACAAAAATCATAGAAACTGGGCCATTCTGGAGCACCATTGTAGTAAACTTAGAATTAAGACATTGACAAAGAAAAGATTATCCCATTTTGACTCCAACATGGGTGGAGGTTCTTAATCAGTTAAAGCAAGGGAGTGACCAAGAACTTGGCTATAGCAAATTATAAGTTGTTCACTTGCCATTGGCATGGAATGCATAGTTATTTTCCAAGAATAATCACTTTAGTGTAAAATATTACATGATTATATTATAGTTATATATGTATATATGCCACTGGATGAAGCATACGTGCGGTAATATCAAAGCATTGTCATGATAATCATTGCTGCCACCATTTAGGTAAATTGTTCCAATATCAATTGCTTTCCACTCTCGAGGTATATATATTGCCACTCATAATTAGACGCCCTCTAATGGTGCTCCACTTATTAATCACAAGGATTTTATGTTTGGTTTTTGATTAATATCTTCAGCAGTCCAAAAAATTCCTTAACTTCTGTTTAGTTTGGCGTTCTCAGAGATAAATATATATTTATTTTTTAGTATATGAAATTTGTGATGGGTTATACACTTTTGTTTGTTGTGATATACTTTTTTTTCTTTTTTCTTTTAAGGGAATGATATCTCGATGTATATCGAGTATTTATACCCTTTTTAAAGTCATCAAATTCACTGTACAATAATTTATGATTGATGGAAATATAACAATATTTTACATTTTTTTCATTAAAACCCGTTAGAATAAAAAAATATTTAATAAAATATTGTCATTTTTTAATTTTTAATCAACACTGAATATTTACTAATAGTTATCGCTAACCAAAGGAATCAATCGACACACAAGTTACTTCAGCATAATAGGTAATTTTGATTTTGAATTCTAGGTATATAACTATTTTAAATATTTAAAGAGAAGCCTTTTCTACCTACAGATAGTTCCTATTTAATTCAAAATAATTATTTTTTTTTCAAAAAAATACATGTGATCTATATATAAAAAAAATACTATTTTTTATTCTAATTATAGTTAATAAATTAAAATTTCTTTGATCTTAATTATAAGTAACGTCATTAGTTTTAAAAGTTATCCAGGTTAAGTTTGTTTTATATCATTCATTTACTGTTAAATTTATTTTTTTCTATACATTTGTTTATAACTATTATTAAATATAATAATTAGTAAAAGGTATATTTGAAATACAACTTGAATTTATTCTAAAATTAATTAAAAGGAATTATATTAATTAATTTTCTTAATTTTAATGATTTGTCCTATATTACTTATAATTAGGGTTGGATGTAGTATTTTGTATTTACACTTTGATAGATTAATTCATAACTAATGATTATTTTGCGCCGAAATGGGGTGATATAAGAAAAGAGATAGAGAGAAAAGAAAAAAATAAAGAAAAAGTGACAAAATAAGAAAGTGATCGATTATCATAAAATTTTTTAAAAATCACAAATATCTTCTATAAGAGAAATCAAACTCTATACAATTAAGACCACCATGAATAATAAAGTTCTCTTTGTAAATATTAATAAATTAATTAATATGTAATTTTCTTATAATTAACTTATTAGCTAGGATTATTCAATTTAATAATAAAGTTAAAAAAATATATAACTTTTAAAGATTTAAAATTGTTATTAACAATAAAAAAGTATTTCATTCAACAAAGAGATATATAATGTTAACAAATAATTCTTTTCAAAGTACTAAAAATTATTTTAACATTTTTAAATATGCTATATTTATCTTTTGAAACATACAATATTCGTATTATTTTCTTTAAAAATAAAAGGAATTGTCTAATTTGTTCCAAGTAAAAATGGGGTGAAACAATTCTGTAGAAGATAATTAAAATAATTGTACCAACTATCTAAATGGAATCATCTTCTATGAGGTTTTTTATCCTCGTTTTAACTTGGTGTCGAAGTTAGACAACTCAAAATTAAAAACATTGATGTGCAAGGATGGAATAATTTTTGAAGTTAAACACATGGAGAGGTTATATAGGTATTAAAATAATGTTCAAGAATTTTTATATGTTTAAAACTTATAATATTGGAACCACAACATTTATAATAATATTTAAATTAATTATTAGACTTAATAATTAAAGTATCACCCATCATTAATTATTTAAGGGTGATGATATATACACCTCCTATTTTTTATAAATACACCTCCAATCTCTTTTTTTAAAATAAAATTCCTAAAATATCCTTCTAACTAAATATGATTATGTTGATGGAAACGTTAATTTTAGTATTCTGGAAAGTATTTTCCGGAATAGTAAAATTATTGTTCCGGAAAACATTTTCCGGAAGTATGTTCCTTATTTCTGGAACATTAAATTTAGTATTCCGGAAAATATTTTCCAGAATTATGTAACAAGTACACTTTTGGAAAATACTTTCCAGAATAAAAAATTTACTATTCCTAAATATACTTTCCGAAATAAAAGCTTTATTATTCTGGAAAACACTTTCCGGAACAAATAGTGAGAAGAATTACTTGGAAGAAAAAATGCATATGGTTTGACACATTTCTCTTCGATATTGAACCCACTTACAACTTATAACAAAACTAAAAAGGGAAGAGGATAATGCATAAATTGAAAAGGAAGAAGGGGAGGTATGAAGGTGCGGAGAAAAAAGTAAAGAAGAAGAAACGGGGTGCACAAAGAATAAAGAAGAACGGTGAGAAGGGGGGTGTAAATCTGAAAAATTATAAGTTAGAAAAATAATAAATTCGGAAGTGTGTTTGTTACATAATTATGGAAAATATTTTCCGAAATACTAAATTTAATATTCCGAAAAGAACTTTCTAGAATTATATAAGAAACACACTTCCAAAAAATGCTTTCCGGAATAATAATTTTACTATTCCGGAAAATACTTTCCGGAATGCTAAAATTAATGTTTTCATCAATATAATCGTATTTAGTTAGAAATATATTTTAAGAATTTTATTTATAAAAAAAAAAAGATTGAAGGTGTATTTATAAAAAATAGGAGGTGTATATATCATCACCCATTATTTAATTTTATTTGAAAATAATTTTGGGCTTTTGGAAGGGCCCGGTAGGCAAGAAGGGCCTACTTAAGTCCAATTTTGCCAAAAGGCCCAATGGCTGAATGAGTGTACGCCTTTCAATGGGCAGGTTTTGTGTTTGCCAGGCTTTGATGTATTTTAAAAAAAACTCAACTTTTCTTTTTTCCTCACACTTACGAGGACTGTTAACAAAATTCCCATCATATTCAATAAAGAAAAAAAATATTGATGCTAACAGATTTGATTAATTATATTATAACAACTTTATTGTTGTAATCAATCATCAAGTTTAGTAAATATACAAATATAGCAACTATATCATTAGAATTAGTCATCAAATTTGGTAAATAAGTAAATATAGCAATTATATTAGTGATCCTACACTTCTAAAGAAAGAAGGATAATAGTGATTTTAAGAATTTTTTTTTTCGTCACTAGAGTATACAGGACCGATAGTAATTTTAAGAACATATTAAGAATTTTTTTTTTGTTCGTCCCTAGAGTATCCAGGGCCGATAGCCGTGACTAATCCCCTCACTACATTGGAGGCACCTCAAAGGATGAGATAACTGGCTCCAAGATTTAACGCGGCTGCATACATCAGGCAGGATTCGAATCTCTGACCTTGCTTAAGCGTAAATCAACCCCTACCGCTGAATCACAAGCTTGAGGTTAACATATTAAAAATATTAATGAATATGTAAATAAAGTAGAATATTTAGTTTTGAGTTATAAGAAAAAAGTAGAGAATTTTTTTTCCATGCTTATAGATTTTCACTCCAATATTTATCTTTAACATATACAATTATGTTAAATACTTAGACCAAGAGTTTTTTCGCTCATAATGATTCTATTTAACTAGAATAATATTATATCCGGTGGATACATATAATCTATGAAAAACAGTTTTTCACTTTAAGTATTAATTTTGAGAAGATACTCATCCCTCTTTCAAATTTCCCAGTAAAAACGTAAGTGTAATATTAGTTAAATTGTTCTCTCTTTATGCGTATTTCATTGAGTTATATAAAATAGTTATTATTGAAATTAATAAACTTACCGTATATATGGTTTGTGATGAGGTGTATATAGTGTAGGGCATGTCCTATTTTCTCATTAAATTGTGAGTTTAATGAATACTTAGTGTAACAAATTTTACATTTTTAGTCAATTAAAAATAAATTGATTATGACATACATTTTTTTTTTTTTTTTACATTATCAGGACATAATTTTTTTCTCTAAAAGTATTAAGCACCCATTACATTGAAAACCTTTGTTTCTAAGTAGTTCCAAGACCCAAAAAAATGATACAATATTCTAGTAACAATCAATCATTGTAATTTTACATGGAGGAATGCCAAACAATATTTAGTGATATCCAAAAACAATCTCATAAAAAAAGTTATTTTAATGGGTGATTCAAAATTTAATAGGCCAGCACTATAAAAATAATGTATATATGCCTCCTCTACATGTTTTGATCCCTACTACAGTCCATGTTTTCAAGGTGCTCTCTCTTGAGAGCAGTGAACTTGGCAGCTATGTCATCATAGTCTGGCAACTTAGGATGAACATGATTAGGGTGTGGAGAAGGACATGAAAATGTCCTTAACATCTTATCATTGTTGTTTCTGTGCCTCTCTTGAGGCATGGTCATGGCCCTTGAATAGATAGCTTCTGTTTCTATTCTTGTTGAGGAACCACTAGTCCTTGTATTGGAAACTTTGTTAGAACCAGATATTTCTGCTTTTGTTTCATTGTTTCCATTACCATCTTGGCAACGTGGGTAGTTGAATTCATGATACTCAGCTGCACAACTATAACTCCTCCTATTTGGTCTCCGAGGTTTAGTAACCAATTCAACTCCTTGGTTCATCTCATCATCCCAAAAGGGTTGGCAATGACAACATTCATCACTCAGAACATGTCTGGCTCTGATCCCTCTCTTTTGATTCATTAATTGAGCCTCCAAATAGTCCTCATCATTATAAAGGCAAAAATAACAAGGCTGGTCCAAGCTGCAGCCACTCATTTTGAAGTTGAAAGTTTTTCTCCTTGTGCCACCTTGTAGCATCAGTCTCTTTTGGCAATAACTTGATGGGGGAATTCCTTCAAGTGAAGGCTTGTGATGCTTTCTGTGGTAATGAGTACCATGTTTATGAGCCAAGGGACTTTTGCATGGCTTGTGATAATATATCATGTATCCAATATCCATAAGGCCAAGGTTTTCCAGGGAGGTTGATCTCCTTCTATATCTTTTCTCATGTTTCCTTTTGCTCTTTCTAGAGGTCATTGTGCTTGAGTTATCACTCCCTGATCCCTCTTGATCCATTTCACTATCACCAAAACCAAATTGAGATTTTTCTCTCCTGGACAGACCAGAAGATCTGAACTTAAATAGCATTTGGTCTTGGCAGGCACCATCTTTTGGTAAAGAAAACTCCTTGATGTCATCTACATAATCTACCACTTCTTCAGGATAGGGAGAGAAACTTACTCTTTGTGCAGAAGATGTTAAAGCCATTCTTTCCCCCTTGTTTTGCAAATCAAAATTTATAGAAGAAAGTAGCCCAGTAAAGTCTATCTCTACAACTTTCTTTTCCAAAGGATATCTCAGGATATATGGGGGATATTGCTGAACAGCAGACACCATCACAGAAGTATCAGCCAAGCTAGATTCTGGCAGAGAAAAAGAATCACTTGGTTTGGTAATGGATGAATTAACATATGTGACATCACTTTTTATCTCTTCAATCTCTGAAGGGTGGACTTTAGATCCTGCAATTGTGTCAATTATTTGGGCATCAGTTTCCACAAGTTGATACCCTTTATTTTCTTGAACCTGTACAAAGCGCCATTCAACATAATTTGGTAGTTTTAGTAAATGAGAGGGTTATAACTTAAATTCATTGATACATTCAACAGAGAAAAGAAGAGTGACCTGCACTTGTTGCCAATCCGGGTAGTATTCTATGGCTAAAACCTGTTGTTGGAGGCAGTTATCCTTCGCTATTTTATCCATCATTCTGTACTTCAGATCATCCGGCACAGACTTTACTGACAAATTCTCTTTCAACTGTGATTTTGAAATTCCATGAATATGTGTATACATCATTAACAAATGTTGAATTGCATCAAATGTAAAGTGATTATACTTCACTGAAAAAAATAAAATAAAACAGTACTTGTTTGTTTACAAGATTCCCTGGAAATAGCTCCACAGCTGTAGTTGCAAACCTCTCACCATAGCGCTGTCCAAAGAGGTTTCTGATGACACCAAGCTCAGGAAGATCTCCACATCTTGCTGAAGCAAATATAAGACTAGAAACTGCTTCGTTAATATCATTTGGACAGTCCCTGATTTTATAAATATGAACCATCAGAAAAATTTTGTGACTAGCAAATGTATTAGATTTAGACTTAGACAGATAGAAAGCAGTTAGTACTTGTGCCTCCGGATATAGGAGAATTGTGAAAGGATAAATTCGCAGAAGTGATCTAGCAATTCATAAGCAGCTGCTAGGCTTTCATCTTGCAAAAGCTGTTCAACCTGAAATTTTGAGAAAAATTATAGCTAAGATTTGGAATTGGGACTGAAGAATGGGATGCTCAGTAAAAATCTACATTATTAACATAGATTGGAGAAAAAAAATAAAACACTGATGAGATAAGTTACTAAATTTGAATACCCCATCAACCATTCGCATTTTTATGTCTATTGCATACAAAATTTCATAGTTTAACTCAGATTTAGTTCAGGCACTAATTAACTTTTGTTCTTCATCATTCATAAGAGTTATAGAGGCTCAAGTGATTCTATACCTCATTCATCAATCATTACCAGCAGTATTTTAGTTACAACTGTGATATAGTGTATAGATCCTATACAAATGCTACCTCGACACCGATCCTGAAGTGGATGCACAAAATCTACGAGTGCTAACATGTATATACGTAAAAAATACACATACTGTCGGTAGATTGAGATTTACAAGGAGAATTTAGCAAACTAGACAGAGTAGCATATTAAGCTATTGAACAGTAACAGTATCTACAATTGTGCAACTTCTAATACTCATATTTAATGGAAAGAAAACTCCCTCTTGTTAAAATCAAAAGCATGATATGAAGGGAGATAATTATGCAGGCAAAATAATTAACAAATGAGTATGTAGCATTAACAAACCCGGTTAAATGCAGTTTCTTCATGGCCACTTTGTATTAGCTCAGCTAAGTCCTTTCTCAGTTGCCTTGCTATTGCAAGCCTCTTGTTCTTGAGTAGCCCGAGCCTGCACCTCGCTCTTTTGATCGCCTTCTTACTTGAAATTCACCAAAGAACAAAACAAAAACAAAGGTTATATAATATTGAACTCATACATGCATGCATGATGGTTATTAAGCAAAATATCAATTCACATGTAATTTAGTTAATTACCATTTGGAAGCTTTGGACCAACCGAACAATATGCCAAACATATCTATAACTTGATGGCAGTTTCTGAATTCATTGGAGGTTATTAAACAAGCAAGGAAAGGTAGAAGTTATTAAACCTGATGAAAAATGAGCTGGTTATGGACACAGAGTAGTAATGAGGAAGAAGTTAAGGAAGAACATGGAAGAGTAACTTAAGCACTTTTGTGGAGATGATTAGATGAGAGTGGTTTGAAAAAGGAAGAGTGCGACAAAATAGTGGGACTTATTGAAAGAAGGAAGAAGGAGACGGTTGTGGTGTGTTTGAAAAATAACTGCTCCACTCCACCTCAGTTTTTGGACACGTCAATTTTGCAAACTGCTATGATAAGTGATAACATCCCCAGTGGAAAAGGCTAGCAGGGCATGGTCATGAAATTCTACTTGTTCACATCCACGGATAGCCTAAACAATTTGAATTTAGTACCACATCGTTGGAATTATGCACACCAAGTTTCTAGAGTTACTACTAGTTGTTATCATTAATTATCTTTTAGTCTTAACTTGTTACTTCAACATACAAAATATTTAGTATTTTGACACAAACTGCGCACCAAAATTATATATTTGGACCACAAGCTAAAATTAAACAACAATTATAAATGTCTTGCTAGAAAATTTCCACCTTATACATATTTAATCATTTTAAGACACATTTAATCATTGGATATTTCAAAAATTTTGGAACATTGGTAAGACACTTAACCATTGAAATGAAAAATATAGATAATAATTGTATATATATATAATTATTTATAGTTAACTACTTGTAAATAGAAGTTGAATTTTATTAAATATTAATAATTTCATGATTTTTTTAAATTATTTTCAAGATTTTTTTAATTACTTTCAAGATATTTTTAGTTATTAATCTTTCTTAGAGATTGTGAATGTACATTAGATAAATATTTTCCTCTTAATAGTCTATTTCATATCTATTTTTAATCATTAGTGTAGGAAGTATAAGATGATAATTGTATATATTTATTTAGTTTTAACCAATTGTAACTTTGTAAATAAAAATAATTAATCATTATTATACATTTTAACAATTCTATAAAAATATTAACCATTAATATTATAAATACACATGTATAATTAAATTTATTTGCTCATATCGAGAGATAAAGTTAGTTATATTTATACATGAGAATAATAATCATGTGTGATAGTTAAATGATAAGTAAAAAACCTCTATGGTATAGGTCAATCATTGCTTTTAATAAAAAGTATATATTTATAAAAATGTGAATATATTAATTAAATTGTACAAAATAAAAGTGTGTGGATATTAAATTGTATATAAATCTTTCATTTTGTGGGAAATTAGAAATGTATGATTGACACTTTCACTAATAGTTATTTTTATTTTTATTATTTTACAATCATAAAATCAGATCCTTTATTTCTTTGTGGAATAACATAAAAACAATGTGTAAATCACCGAAACAATAAGAGTTTTTAATTAAGTTGTGAGTCACTCTATTAACAATATATTATAATATGATATTAGGATATAAAATAATAATCACTTATTAATATATAGCGAATTGGGTATGTAATTAGAATTGAAATTTACCGCCTATGGTTTAGAAATACGAAGACCCCAAGTACAACTCTTAATATAGTTAATTAATCACATAAGTAATACTTTAATGGATAATTAAAATTAGAGTTGAGTGTATTGATGAATCACACGTTCCTCAGAGAAAAAGAAAGAAGCACGCGCAGCAAACACAGTGGTGTGGCACAGAATGATATGATTGAACTGAACTGTAACGAACACGCGCTGACACATCTAATTGTTTTGCCTGCAAATTCTATTTGAAGGGTAACAAGTTCAAAAAAAATTACGTAAAAAACAAACTCAGTGCTTCAAGAAACTCATAATCTATTACTTGCGTTTATGTTAAGCAAAAGTGAAAAACCGATAACCAATTTGACCCACCTCCTCTCCACTCCTTGTAACACCATTCTGGGACGTTCACCAACTCATGTTATTCTTAACACATGCAAGGGTGCATCCACAAAGTGGGTGCACATTTTTTAGGCGTGGTCATAAAGATTTTAAAAATAACAAAGAAATTAATCAACAAGTTTCACCATAGTTAATAAATAATTGAATTAAACATGTTTTTTTTTTTACAGAAATTTGATTTATTAATTGTACATATAAAAAATAATTTATTGAGAGAGAGAAAACTTAGGTAGCTTAAAAAATAAATAATAAAGACACATAGGATGATCATCATCGAGCACTCTCAACTTTCGTTAATTTAGTGTCATTCTTAAAGGAAAAATGTGGAAAAGTACAATTATTAGTAAATGTGTGTATATTTTAATCCGAAGCAGCATCTCAGGATTCCTGTATTATGTTCTTAAGTTGCACTTTAGGTGGTTGTTGTTTACTTGTTTTGCGTGAGAGAATCGTATGCTATTCTTTTATGTTGTATTGCTATTAAATTTGTTTTCTTCCTTGTTTACAATTGTTTACGATATAGTGTGACTCAACAATTATTTGGATAAGGAATAAAGTTAGGTTCTAACTTTATGGGTAAATGAATATTATTTCTTTCATTCAAACGTGGGATTATTTTTTCTTTTACAATCACAATGATTTTTAATACAATTCTTAATTCAAATTTGAGTTTTTTCTTTTCTTTTACGATTACAATGATGATAACGAAAGAGTTTAGTTTAGTAAGTTAAGTAAAGTGTTTAATTATTATAAATTCTATTACTAGTGTATTCGATTCTTCCGAATAAAAAAAATTGATGATATCAAAGTTTGAAGTTATAATTTCTTGTAAACTACCTTGCTCTTTATAACTGTGCACATTTCTAGCAGCTTTGTGAAGGAGCTTTACCCATCAAGGTTACACAATGTTACTCATAAAAATACTCAAACTAATCATTCATTTATGTTACTCATAAACATATCCACTAAATGTACGTCAGACAGACGTGAGGACATTTTGATATATACGAATTATTCTTAATACGTTTATAGATAAAGAGAACAATATTCAGACAACTCTATATCATAATTGCAGATATAATGAAAATATATTTTTTTATTGAAACTTGAGATTTTTCTTTCTGGTTTAGAAGATATCACTCTATCTCGTGAAATCTACCTATAATCTTTCTTCGTTATCTTTCTTTACGTAACTTGTTTTAGAAAAATGCATTAACCTAACAATTAATAAACATGACTTTTGAGACATACATAGTGTAGAGTGTAGATCCTGCACTTTGATACAAATTAGAGAGGCATGCTTACTTAAAAAGATAGACAACAATATGTTAAATTAAAAAGGCATTCAATTCTTGTTTATACATATACGTTATTAGTGTATGAGCACATATAGATGCACTCTCTAGAAATTATTTGTTGTTAATTATCGGACTTCTGAAGGGATCAGCAGGAAGACATACATCATACAAGTGTGCTAATGCTACTAACATGTTCAAAGTGATTAAATTAATTCACCTACAGACTGAGCAAATAAGAGTTGAAATATGACAAGTGAAATTCGACAAGGACAATCAATTTCTGTTTTTTTTTTTTGGTAATGGCAGCCTTAAGCTCAATACTAACTTTGCGGTGGTGCATGTGCATGCTTCTTGATGCTGGGGTTATTTTATGATATTTGTAGGGGATATTTTATGAGAGTTATTCTTATAAGGTTATTACATAAAAGGCTTCTCTAAAATTGGAGTATGTATGTATTTTTATAAGTTGTTATTTTTTCTTTTATTTTATAAAATGTAGGAATTGTTTGTATAAAAATAATAGTTTACTGTAAGTATAAGGGTTTTTTATAAGTTGCTATTTTTTATTTTATTTTATAAAATGTAGGACTTGTTTGTATCCCAACAATCCTTTCATGCAAGTATAAGGGTTGTTACGGCATCCAACCTTACGGCTCTGATACTGGGGTTATTTTATGGTATTTGTGTGAGAGGATATTTTTTATAAGGGTATTTTTTTATATAAGGTTATACATACACAATTTCACAATGATGAGATATTGTCTACTTTAAGCCTAAATTTTCACGGTTTTACTTTTTTATATAAGGTTATTTTATGGTATTTGTGTGAGGAGATATTTTTTATAAGGGTATTTTTTTATATAAAATTATTACACACACAATTTCACAGTGATGAGATATTGTTCACGGTTTTACTTTTAGTTATTATCCAAAAGACCTCTCTAGCATTGGAATATATGTGTGTTTTTATAAGTTGTTATTTTTTCTCTTATTTTATCGATGTGAGACTTGTTTATATCCCAACAATTGACACCATATTGAATATGTTAGAAATATGATACTATGATAACAGTGTTAGTTTATAAGGCAGATACATGGATTAACATGTTAGATAATTCTATCCAAGAAATACGTGTAAATTAACAGGTTTACAAGTCTCAATTTGGTGCACGCAAGCCTAATACTCTTTACTTACATTTTTAGAAGTGTTAAGAACATTTTGATATATAATGACTCAAATCTTGAGTGATTTAAATAATGTGAGATTTTTTTTTAAATAAACATGAATATGTGTCATATATATAAAGAAAATTAACAAAATTACCCAGGGAGTTCCTACTTAGATTTTCAAACCTCTTGAATATTGATTTGGTATTGCAACTTGGGTTTTGTCTTTAGGTGTGTTATGTATGTAAGAAATCCTATTCTCATTTCTGGTTACACCACAGCATCCTCTGTTTTCCTCCAAGAGATCCCTAAATATTGATGCTTCTTTACCAATTCTGGCAGAAACCTCTTTCACTAATTATTTATATGCAGAGTTTTAAATTCTTGATATGTGGTTTCGTTGTAATCTGTGATGTCATGGGAAAATATAGATAAATGTGGCCGTAATTGCAGTCACAAAGACTCGAAAAACCTTAACTTTGTGATTCAAATTGTGTTGGTAGACAGTTTTACAAAACCATGTTTGTATGATTGAAGTTGGATGGTGATATATCTGGGATTGTTGAAATTTGTAGCATTAACAAGACATGTTATGTGACTTTCTTTTCATCTCTTAAAGAGTCTAGGAAATGGATTGAGGCAGATCATATGGTTGTTGCCATTGTTTTTTGGTTTATCTTTGTGATCAAGTTGTAACAAATTGCAACATGCAAGTTGGACATTAGCAAATTCAGCCAGGAATTCAGACACCCAAGAAAACTTATGAAAATAATAATATGAAAATTATTCAATAGAGTATTAGAACGCTAGAAAGAATAAAGTATTGAAACCAATTAGATTGAGTAAAAGATAATTTTCATGTACAGTTGAGCTAAACTAAATTCTACACAGAAAGCAATTTTTTCTCCTCTCTGACTATCTTCTGTCTGAGATAACTCATGCTTTAAAAGTCTCTACAAAATTCTCACCATCAACCCTCCCTATTTAATCCAAAGAAAAACTTGATCCAAAGAAAAACTTGATCAAACACATCTATTTGTGTGATAAATGTACTTCCCCTGTATTATGACTTCCAAGAAAACATAACAAAAACTCTAAACCAAACTCCAATCACCATGATCAAAGCAAATAAGTCCCTTGGCACCGATTTTAGTAGGATGAGTAAGGTGTCTGAGTTATTTGTTACCGAGTTTGATTCTGACAGATAAAACAAAATGTAAGCCATGTCAACCCCAATTTCCTTTGCCTTCCACTTCTTAACAGCCACCAATATATACAAAGATTCATGAAATAACCGACAAACCAACCATTTAGAACTTTATTCCATAGGTGAAATCCTTCTTCAAAATATTAGGTCTTTTATTGGGTTGCACCTTATCAATAACCAGCGAACAATTTACATGAACCACAAATTTCCTGAGATGTATAAAATCGTTGATAACAAGTCTTATGGGAAGCCTCACTACTACTAACAAAGGAATTTTCTCTTCCTTCTGGTCTTCCATAAACTGGGATTCAATTTCAGAACTTAATTGGCTTTCCCCCTTCAACTCTGCCTTAACCGTTGTTATGTTATTCCCTGGTTGCAAGAAGGGTGGTATCTGTCCCGAGCAAAGTTTTGACCCTGAATATATCACCCCAATGTTATTCTCTAAGTAGTCCAACCAAATGTTCTTATTTGGATTATCTGCTTTCACAATAACCACAACATCAGTGTACACCTTGTTTTCCTTTCGCAATTCAAAAGCGACAACGTCAATGCTTTCAAAGTCATAGGAGGGAATGTTAGGCTTAAGAAGGTAATAAAAGCACAAAGCAAGGGCCACCAAGAGTATAATTATGAAGAGGATTATGCAAAGGCAACAACGACACCAACCAAAACAGCAGCAACATAGACTTAGACACCCGCATCCACCAGAGCTACGATGGGAACGGCGAGCAGGTTTGTGGCCATAAAAAGGAGATTGGTTCTTAAGGACATAAGTTTCAGGTGTCATGATAAATAATGACGGTGATTGTTGATTAATTAACCCTTTGAGAATGTGGCACAGTGCATTCAACGTTAAGAGTAAAGAACATTTTTTTCTTTCTCATTTCCTTGTCTTGAACATGACAGGAGGTGCAATTTTCTGCTTGTTCGATTAGGGAACCTTCCATTGGTTAAGGATTTTGTTACGTATGTATGGACACGGTTCTCTAACCAGGTTTTGTGAGGCTCAAACTGGTTTCTTCATTTTTCTTTTCTTTTCTTCTTTTTGCCATCCTAAATTTAGGCACTTGTTAATTAAAGGTTGCTGATCTTAAATTATGATTAGCTGGGGTGTGGACTAAAATTTGCACATTTCATTCAATATATTTATTTGTTGAACTTTCATTAGTTTTGCTGATCTTAAGAGACTGATTTCTTCCAACTGATATCTACTACACATGCAACTCATGAGTAAATTTATAACCACACGCTTAATAGATACAATTATTTGACAACTTTATACATGATGGTTGTTGAACTTTCTATATGATAATTCAGGGAAAGGGTCCAAGAAATTAGAGAACATGAGGAAGTTCTTGAAAGTTGAAAGATGGGTGATTTATTAAAGTTAGCTTACACAATTCATATGGTGAAAATAGAAAACATAAAGCATCATATATTTGATAATATATACAGAATAAACGGAAGAATGTAGTCATTTTCCATTATGAACGAGAGAGAGAGAGCAGTCTAAAAAAGAAAGTGGTTGAAAAGTGGGGAAGAAGAGAGTTCAGAAGTGGGTGGAGAGAGAGGACTTGGATGTGAAAGAAGCTGCGGTGGTTTGCACAAGCTTAAAGACAGAGGCAACAACTTTCTTGAGGTTGAGAGCAGGGACTTTGTTTGGCTTAGGCGATGTGGACTGTGTGAAAGAATGAAGTTTATAGGTAGTGAGAAAGACTTTCCTTTCCTTGGCTCTCCTGCGTCTGTAGCTGTTAGACTTGGAAATCTGTTCCCTGCGGCTGCGTGAGAGGGAGGTGTTGCGGACAAAGGTGGGCATGGTGTGGTGGCTACACAGTCTCAGACACTCTCCTTCAGTGGTTACAGAACATAGAGTAATAAGGTTTTGATTCTTGTTAATGATGGGTCGTCATCATATTCATCGTTCGGTGTCTCCTTTTTATTGTGTTGTCCCTACTCTTCCCATTGGTGGGTAGGCGTCTATAAAAGGTGCTAGTTCACTATCATCATCTTTTTTTCTTTTCCTTCTCTTCTCCAAATAAAAACAACCTCTTACATCCATAAAATAAAAAATAATTATTTATTAAACACATGTATATCATTATTTTTTTTTTTGAAAAGGTAAAATCACGAAGATTAAAATTAAATGTCAATAATATTTGACCGTTGTAAAATTATATGGACAAATACCATAAAATCCTATAAATATCGATAACAAATATGTGTATTTATAATTTGACTTGACTGGTATTTTAGTAAAGCTTGAAACAAAAGTTCATTAAAAAAATGAAGTAAAGAAAATTTTATATGAAATAGATCATCAAAAGTATAATTTTTTTAGTTAAAAGAAATAAAGGGAAAGTTAATTTTTAATTATTTATTAAAAATATTATCATTATTAATTATGTTATTTTAATTAATTATTAATTATATTATTATTATTAGCTGTACAGGGAAGGAGCATCATAATCTATTATGATATGTAGTGACCGATGTTCAGAAACGCAAAATTGAAGGTAACTTGTTAAATTTTTTTTATCTTGCATTACATCCATTTTTATATATAAAACTGAATTAGTATTCATCAAGAATAAATAAACTAGTTAATTTAATCAATAACAATAAATTTATCATATATATATATATATATATTTAAAATTATTATACTATTTTTTTTAATTAATATTTATATATCTTTTAATTAATTAAAGAATATGTCTTATATTATTTTTCTTTTCTATTTAATACTCATTTTTATCCTAACAAATTAGAGTGCATGCCCTTTAAATAATTTAAATTTTAAAAGGAGAAGGAAATTTAAATTTTAAACATTTTAAAGCCCTTGAAATTTTAAAATTACTCATTTAACACAACTGAAGAGAAAATTTATAGGTATCCACACAACTAGTACTCTAGTAGGTGAATTTCAAAATAGTTAAAGAAAAAACTTTGAAACTGTTTGATTAAAAGTTATGTGTAATATCAACTTAAAAATAATTAAATTGTTTTATATAGAAAGAAAGAGTAATTATGCCTTTGGTCTCTGGTTTTATATTCCTTTCTACTTTTGGTTCCTCAAAAAAATTTTGACTAGTCATAATTCGACAAATAATTTAGAGTTTGTTATTTAGTCCCTCCATTAACTCAGACATTACGCCTTCATGGTTCAAGCTGCCTAACGCCACCAGAATCACGAGTAGGGATGGCAACCGGGTAGGGCGGGTACGGGTTTCATGATATCCGTCCCCGTCCTCGCAAGTTAAACTCATCTCCATCCTTGTCTCCATACTCGTCGGGTATAGATTTTCATCTCCACCCCCATTCCCGTCGAGTATCGGGTATACCCTTACCCGTACCCGTCAATTTTTTTATTTTTTATTTTTTTGTAAAAAAAATGATATTTTTAAATTATTTTTTTATTATATTATAATTATAATTAGGTTATTTCTTTATCTCATATTATAATAAATAATCACACATAAAAAAAATTAAATTTTTTTAATATAATTAAATTAAAAGTGAATATTAAATTAAAAATGAAAACGGGGACGGTTACGGGTACGGGGCGGGTAAGTACATACCCGTACCCGTACCCGTACCCGTACCCGATTTAATATATCGGGTTTTACCCATACCCGTATCTGTACCCGGTCAAACCGGATATTCCCCGTCAAAGTCGAGATGGGTTCGGGTATTACTCGCGGGTACAGGTATATTTACCATCCCTGATCACGAGGGAAATGATGCATATTGCCTACGGCAGAGCCCAAGAGCCAAAGGAGGTGGTGCGTGGTGAGGGTGAGGAGGCTAGATTTGATGTGGGGAAAGCTTGTGGTATGGTCATCTTTGTAAATAAGGTCCATGCCAAAGAGAATGAAGCATTTGATTTCGTTTGGATCAAGCATCAAGTAGCCCTTTGCTAGTGTATTCACCCAACTCATTACTATACTTTGATACGGTTCACTTACTACACTGCTAAAAAACCAAATAAGATACATTCAACTCATGATTTAATATATAATTTGTCACTAATATCATGTACACAATTATATGTAAGGAATAAATAACATACTATATACAAAATATATAGTTAAGTGCAAAATAAATTTAAGCGTTGGTTGACATTTATACAATATTTAACTACATTAGAGTAGTGATCAATAAAATTTACTCGGTGTGATTTATCACAGATTGTATTAGTTATTATAATCTTATCCCGCTCTCATATTAAGTATGATTATTGTAGTTTCAATCATAAAGAAAATATAGAATAAACTTGTGGAAAGAATTCAACGTATAATCAAAATTAAACAACATATAGTCAAAATTAAAATTTTGGTATTGAACAAATAATTTAATAAGAATTTGAAATTGATCAACAAAAAATATTTAAATTTAATAAAAATTGAATAAAGTGATAACTTTTGAGTGATTTGAATTAATAATAATAATAGTTAAAGATTGATTCACTAACTTTCCTTATTTAAAACCTCTTAATTTTTCACTCAATTTTGTAATTATATAGTTAATTCATCAATTCACAATTATATTTAAACAACCTTAATTTCTAGGAGTGTTCAAAAAAATTAAAAAAACTAAACTGAATTTAAAACTAGACTGAACCATTTTTAAAAAACTAGAACCAATTATAATAAAACTGAACCAGATTTTTTATAAAATAAAACGAAAAAACTAAACCTATTTTTTTAAAGGTTTGGTTTATTAATATATTTGGATTTCTAGATTGGTTAGTTGCCCCCTCAGGCACTCGCACTCACTCTCACACTCACTCTGTTGCTCGCTCGGACTCACCGTTTCTCCACAGTGTGGGAAACGATCTACAGCACCCCAAAGTGATGATGTCCAGTGGAGAAAAAATAAAATAAAAAATAAGGAATCCCTTCAACAGTTCTAATTTTCATTTCTCGCATCTATTCCTGTCAATGTGATATGAGACAAACGCTAACAAGTGGTACTGTTCAGCGATAACTCTCACTTTCACACAACGCAACCTATCTCGCGATTCCGTGCGCATTTTTTCTGCTTTCGAGGCTCCGGCTCGGGATGGCTCGCCGCTGAACCGGACTGGTTCGGCTCGGAGAGATCTTCGTCTCGGAAACACGCATTGTGGCGGTGATGAGAGGGAGCTGCTGGAACCGTCAGACAGAGCAGCGCTACCGCCATTTCGCGATCTCCACCATTAAATCAGTCAAGATCAAGATTCTGCTCTGTTGTTGCGCCACCTCCACCTCTTCCTTCATCCTTTGGTTTATAAGGTTTTGTTCAAAAACTGGTTTTATTATGAAACTGGTTTTAAACCGATTATAAACTTGTTTATTAAAGTAATTCAGTTTTAAATTGGTTTGTTAAAGTAGTTTATATAATTTATAAACCAGATCATTTTATTAAAATGGTGTGGTGCAGTTTGGTGTGGTTTTTTTAAAAAAACAAACTATGCACACCCCTACTAATTTCTTAGGTGAAAAAGTCTAGGTTGTTTAAGGAGAATCTCAATTCTTTAGTAACTTTGGATAAAATTCTATATTGATGTCAAGGACCAAAAGTTGATAAGTTATATTTCAATTTCTTTATAATAAATGGTATCAATATCTTGTATAGGTTGTGATTTTAAAAAATATTTTTCAACTTGGATTAAAAATTATAGAATCATGTAAAGGTTGATTAGGCTAAAATAAACATTAAGTACAAAAATAAAATGATTAACTAAATAAAGAATTTATTGAAAGAAAAACATAGAGAAAATTACATAATTTGAGTAGCTACTTCAATCTCGAACAATAAAGACTTAGCCACTCATGACTAAGGATTACACAACAAAAATGAAACCTTTGAGCAATCCATAATTACAATAATAACCTTTACAAGAACTCTTTCTAATTATGCTTATATTGAATGATAGGAATTGAATACAAATACCTTCTAGAAATCCTATTATAACAATTATGATGGACTTTTAAATCTAATACGCTCACTCAAAACACTTATGTAACTCGCATTGAGTGAGCATATGTGTGTGTGCCTCTAGTAGTGCTCTCTGATTTCACTCGCTTAAAGTGTTCTTATGATAGCTCTAAGTGAATTTTGCTCGCTTAGAGGATCGAAGTAGCTTACTCTAAGCGAATTCATATAGTCTTATAGGGTTGCTCTATGACTTGGCTAGTTCATAACAAATTTCACTTGTTTGGAATGAGTCTTCTATGTAACTTGAAATGATGGTTTTCTTTCAAGATTTGCAACTTCCAAATTATTTTCTTCCTGTGTTATTTATGAACAAAGAAAACATTAAAAGTATCTAATATTTAAACAATTAAATCATAAAATGAAATTAATTCTTGAGTAAGTGTTTTATGGTAAAAAATAAGATTTAAAAATATAAAATATATTAATAATCATCTAAATTATATATATATATATATATAATGAGGGTTATAATAATACTGGTGTAATTTTTACTAAGTATTACACGGTTCAATAACTTTATATTAAATGTGAATTTTGTAAATTCAACCGTTAGATTAAAAGTTCATATCTGTATATCAAATTTTGTTAAAATTGAACAACAACTTAAAGGTAATCAAAATGTTCATATTTTAGTATATTTAAAATATATATATTACGTCAATTTTGTTTTATAAGAATGAAGTATCAAATTATCTTGGATTAATATAAAATTTTGTATATATGATCTAAGGAATATGAACTTTCAATCTACCAGTTGGATTTTCAAAATTCACATTTAATATAAAGTTATTAAGCGGTGTAATATTTAGTAAAAATTACGCTGGTATTATTTGAACATCCTATATATATATATATATA